TTTTCAAAGAATTAATTATATAATGTGACACTTTTAGTATATTTCATATTATGTTCTCATTTTGTCAATTATGTGAATTCTTTTTTTTTGGTGCAATGTGAAACCTTGAAACTTGAAACCCTTTGCTCTCGTTGCAGAATTTCTGAGGACGCGTTAACAGGGTTCGCTCCTACTCGTAACCATGTCATCGCCTGCCGATCAGACCAATGGCGAAAGCAAACGAAAAGGGAGTGGCAACAAAGGGCGGGGTCGAGGAGGAAACAGAGGACAGGAAGGTCGCGGCGGTGGTCGAGGTGGTGGTCGAGGCGGCGGTCGAGGGGGTGGTAGAGGGGGCGGGGAACACGATAAACACCAAGATGGAAGCGGAGGTGGTAATGATAGGGGTGGTGGTGGACACCAAAGAGGACGTGGAAGCAGCCGAGGACGAGGAGGGGATAGAGGAGGTCAACGAGGTGGGGATAGAGGAGGTCACCGAGGGCAAGGAGGTGAGGGTTACCGAGGTCGTGGAAGAGACAAGGGCGGAAATCGCGGTGGACAGGGCAAGAACACGCATGACGGACGCAGCGGTGATTCTGAGGGTGAGTCATCGTCACAATTAGAGGAGCATTACAAAGAAATATACCTATGAGTGATTTTATGTGAAGCAATCGATGAATAACTGCAAATGTTATTTTTACTAATTTTTATAATTAACATAACAATCTGTCAGCAATCATTATGTATTTGAAGCAAAGAAATTCTTTTTTTAAAGAACACTGATTACAAATGAAAGTGTTAATTTTCTTAAGTTATGCATTTATTGTTTTAAAGAAAATGGTACAAGATGCAATAGCCAACTTCAACTATTGTAATAAGTGCCTCTTTTATTTTGACACATGCCTCCGTTTCTTTTTAATAAATGCCATTTTCCTTCTGATAATGCCATTTCTGTCCTTATACGTGCCCCTTTTCATCTCTGGTGAGTGCTCCTTATATAGGTGCGAGAAGTGCCTCATTTTAACCTCTGTGCTCCTTTTCCTTAAGACGGTGTCCTTTTCCCTTTGGATATGTGCCCCCTTTTTCCTTTCACCATAACATGTACTCCTAATTTAAAGTGACTAAGAGTAACCTTCTCTTTTCAATTTTACCCAAAGCTCACTAGCTACGCCGGCATTTAAAGTTGATATAGTCATGTTTTTTTACTTACAGATCTTTTCAGTCTTTCATGATTAGATTGTGCTTAAAACCCCATCGGGATTGTGTTTTTTTGTCTTTATAAGATTTTTTTTTTTCACATTCAAATATTCCCTGATTATGTAATCACAATGTAAGAGTATATACCAATGTCTAAAAATTGTATATTTTCGCTTTGAGGTTTCTCTTTTTTAGGTGCACCTTTTTCTTTTGAAAGTGCCCTTTTTTGTTGGTGCCCCCCCCCCCCTCCCCCAACTTTAAAAGACACTCCGCCACCCCTGATATAAGGAGATAGATTGATCGATAACGCTCTTAAAATCAATCACGTGAGGACAACATGATAAATCTTTAATAAAATCTATTGTAAGAGGTGCATTAAATGATTATCGCAAAATGCTTTCGGATTGTCCCATCTGCGTCCTTGATGAAGCATATATACAGCAGAGAGAACAAATAAATGGAGATAGGAGTGAAAAATAAAAGACATACGGAAAAAAAAGACGGAGAGAGTATGTCTGTTTTGCTTTAACATGCAAAATTTTCACAATCGAAAGGGGGAAGAACATATTCCCCTCCCGGCCTAGCTAATCTGCCCTCTCACATTTTGATCATCTAGTACAGCGTTTTCCCAGCCGGAGTGCAGCGAGAATATTGTACTTATATTAAAAATATATTTTGGAATAATTTCAATTTCATGGAAACAAAGGATTAGAAAATGCGAGATACCCAAATACATAAAGAGATCTTGCTGGGTATTTAATGAGGAAATTACATTTCAGAGATAGTAAAGTGTTTTTTCTCTCACACGCTCGCAAAATTTAGAAACGGGATAGTTCCAGGCAGCTATATAATATAATATAATCTATATGCTGATATGAAGATTTTTTGGCACCTCACTGCCGAAATATTGTCATCGACGCCCGAATATAATTATTATTATTATTTATTTTTATATCGAAATGAAATATATACCACAACCATGCAAGGTGTTTGTTTTGGCATTTGTTTGTTTCACTTCTTGCAAGATTGATAAATCAGGATGATTCCTGACAACGATATTACGTTGTTGATGCTCGGCCAGACACACGATATTGGACATGATAAAAGTGCAATTGTTTTCGCACATTATTAAGATGCAGATAATATATTTGGGGTGTGAGGCCTCACACCCTCAAGAAAAACAAAATGTGCTCGTAAGTCTATGTGTACGAGGGATGAAAAGAAAACTTTATGATGAGTTTTTGGATAGGGGTGACGCAAAAAACTTTTCGACTAATAAAAGGATGACGTGACTTTAAAAAGAATGTTGAAAAACGCTAATCTAGGAGACTAAAAACTGGTCCCCCCCCCCCAATGAATGTACCCACGCTATGCCATTGCCTCCAGGGATTAGTAACGTTCTGATATTTGGGCACCAACACTTCGCTTCCCAAACTGTCTCTAATTTAGGGTAGATATTCGGGCGGGTCCTCAAATATGTTGTTTACCGTAAGATTTCACTCGCTCGCGGAATTTGAAAACCAAAGTGTTTATATTCGGGCAACAGTCATCAGCCTCCTCCCAAAATATGCCCTTACGTCTATGCATGTGCATATAACACAAACCAGGCTGCACTTCATGATATTGTGCCCCAGTGTACCCCTGCAGCAAGTTTAGATATAGAATGCACCTGACTGTTTAATGAAAATATCTTTTCTTGTGAGAGAAATGTGGGAATGTGAGTCCCAACAAAAAGAATCCTGGATCAGCCACACGCACTGCCTTATCCTGTTTTAGAGGATGCAACTCTATACATATGCAGTGATTGGATCTATGTTTTGTGATACTTATTTTAATACCATTCGGGGGCTCTCATTTCCTCTTTCTTCACATGTGTGTTATATAGGACATCCTCCACCTTTGATGAGTCAACATGCTGGTGGCGCCCCTCAACCTGGGAACTTCATCCCTGGACCTACACAACAGAATGCTACTCCTCTAGGCTACCCATTCCCGCCAACTCCACCTCAGTCTCCTTACGGCCCACCTCCGAACCAGTATGGCCCGCCCGGACCGCAGTTTGGTCCGCGTGGACCGCAGCATGGCTTCCAACACCATGGACCAATGCCGCAACAGCCACCACCTCAAATGGGATTCCAAATGCCTCCTCCACCACAAGGCTTCCAGGGTGGTGGAGGGGTACAACGGCCACCTGGTGTGCAGCAACAAGGCCCCTTCATGAACCAGCAACCACGTCCATTGATGCAGCAGAGAAACCAAGTTCGGCCTATGGGTGTGGTGCCCCCTGTGCAGCAGCAGCAGCAAGGTAAAACAACAAGGTGCCTTGATAAGTGCTCTCGCTACAATTACTCCGGACTTTTGGGGATGAGAAGCTACCCAACTTGGGATTCTTAGTTTGAATTGAGCAGCAGTAAATGTGATTAGTTGTCCTCAAGAAGCCGACTCGATGAGATGATCGATGCCGGCTTTAACTTCCTTTGTATTCTTTTAGCTCTCATAGTCATTATGTAAACTCTCCCAATAAAAATTAAATGTGAACATTCTGTACTTGAATTTTACGGTTATTTCCAAACATGGAATGTATGGCCATAGACAAACATTTCAAAGCATTAATTTTTTATCAATTCAGTTCTTCAAATGTTATGTGCAAAAATCATCATAGTTTTCTAGTCATACTTAAAGCTAATAATTAAATTCCTTTTGATTTGATAAATATATCTTACGGTTTTGCTTTTATATCATTTCTCAATTCTCATTCCTTGTTTCATGTGATCAGGTCAGCGAAAGGATAATAGGAGAGACCATGGTCGTCGACAAGGTTCTCGTGGCGGAAGGCAGCAGCGAACAAACAGACGTAATTGGGACACCACCTCCGATCAGGGATCTGTCGTTGACGAATGCGAGAGCCTGGTAGCCAGCGATGACGATGACTATGGATCGATTATGGGCGATGACGATGTGGAGGAAGAAGATGTTACAGAAAAGCTGAACGATCCGAAGAGCACTCCGTTGGAAGTGAATTCATTAGCACAGTATGAACCGCATAATTCTTACTTATTCATATGTACCTACTTACCTATTATAATTATACTCGTTTTTATACCATAAATAGAAAATTGAGTAACGAGTACATAACTCGGTGAATTGTGGTGCGGTTGAGTAGATAGACCAATTGCAAGTCGTCATCAGACAGTATGGGTATGCCTTTTAAATAGTTGCGATGGATCCGAATTGATTGCAAGCTAGTCCTCCAATCAATCGCAAAGTTACAAACACATATATCGTATAATACAGAGTTGCGATTGATATCAAATCAAGATTAGTGGGATTTCGATCAATCCCAGCTCATTATAAATTGGGGTCTTTGCCTTATAATATCACAGTATATTATACGATTCTACGACACTATACATAAATATTGACCTGACGGGTTCATTTCGTACAGGTTTAAGGAATGTCCGTCAGCTATCAAGAATAAGGTTGATTTATAAGTAGATAATGGAGATAGGAGTGAAAGATAGAAGACATACCGGGAAAAAAGACGGAGTGAGTATAATTGTGTGTGTCCATAAAAATAATCAACACAATTTTTAGATAAGACCAGAATATATATAACAATCAAATTTGTTTAATTCAATGTTGTCTTAATAATTGATAGACTCATAATCCATTATAGAAAATGCCATATTAGCGCATTTGATGCTTGACTTTTTCATTCTTGTTGTTCTCTTCAAATTTTCTGTTTATATGTAGATACCAGGACTTGGAACTCTCGGCCGTTGAAGCCTGGTTGACGAAGACACCGTCAAAAATCGCTGCTGAACTCTTGGAAAATAAGGGAAGCCTACAAAAACTCCTCCATGAACGAGAAATATCCAAAGAGATGTTGTTTGTTTGATGTCGGTGCTTGCAAAGGCGTTCCGGGAGAAGGGGGACGGCGTCCAAGAGATCGCCGAGGCGGTCATCAGCCAGTCAAGGTTTCTCAAACTACATGTTACTCAACATATCATGCGTATCAGGATCAACGCAGAGGCTGAGACTTCCGAGAAACTTCTCCAGCAGACAAACGAGGTGACGGTAGTTTTGCAACAGATTCTGCAGTGTATGACAAGAAAGCAGGCCTCTGAGATTCTGACACCCCTCGTTCTCATCGGGGATGTGCACAGGGATATGGAATCAAAGGAGATACCAGTCCCAGATTCGGCTAAAGAAGCCCTTCAGGTATGCTTCAAGAAACAGAAGGATCTGGCAGAATCTGCTTCTGCAAAAGGTGTTCCGAAGAACGCAGCGAAGAAAGGAAGGTCTAAGGATGCCCCACTGACAGAGTTTCCCTGCTCGGGAGAAATAAAAGATGAATCACCTCCTGAATTAGTTTCTGCTCCAGCTGAAAAGTGCAAGTTCGAGACCACTGAATCATACATCAAGACACAGTTCCAGTTGTTGAGAGAAATTATTGCAGAGCCCATCCGTCAGAGTGTGTCAAAGTATCACCGTCTTCGTGCTAAAAATAAGAAGTTGACTGAAGGACACTTGAATGAATTACCAGTCTATCAGTATGTGAACGTGAAAAGCATCATCAGCTCAAAGAAGGGTGACGTTGGTTTGGTATACCGTATGCAGTTTGACGCCCAAAATTTCAAACCTGATCACTGGGAATCAAATACTCACTTAGCTGAAGGCTCTCTTCTCTGCTTGTCGTTTGATCAATTCAACACTCTTATCTATGGAATAGTTCATGAGCGGCAGTCAAGTGCGCTTAGGAAAGGTTTCGTCGATCTTCGTTTTCCACGGGCAGATGATGTTGCAGTGCTCTTGACCACTCACAATTTCCTCATGATTGACTGCAAGCGAACCACAGAGGGTGTCCTAGATGTCCTGTCAACACTTACACACGTGACTGAAGTTACCATGCCCTTTCGGCAACATCTTATCGACATGAATAGCTCTGGTGAAGAGGCTATATTCTGTAGAGAAGAACAGGAATGCTCCTATGATCTCAGTTCCTTAGTGTCAGATGATGCCCAACACAAAGCAGGAAAGGCACTTGCAATCAATGTACCGCTCACAGATTTCAAACGCTGGCCCAGTGAAGATTCTGTGATTCTGGATGCTGATCAACTTCGAGCTGTGAAATCTGCCCTGACTCAAGAACTGACTGTTATCTCAGGTGGACCAGGCACTGGAAAAACATACATCGGCCAAGCGATTGTCAAGGTTCTTCTGCAAAATCGACACAAATGGGGTGTCAATTTGGCGGACAGAGCTCTTGGTCGTACCGATATTGATAGCGGGCCTATACTCATACTTGCTCCTGATACAGTCAGTCTTGATCACTTCTTGAAAGGAATAGATGATAAAGGGATCGTCAGGATAGATCAACAGAATGGAGGAAAGAAGGGAGCATCAGCAACGAGAAGTGAACATGGTGGATCAGATCCAGAGGGAGCCCAGAAGAGGCTTTCAAACATTCAAGCCAACATTGTCTCTTCAAGGAGGAGTATCATTAGTGTTGAATCTCTGAAACAAGTCATGGATGCATCACATGCTGATGTTATCTCACAGAAAGGGGGTATCGCAGCATGGATCATGCCTGACTCTAATCAGAAAGCACTGAAACGCGCCAATGTTGGATTAGGTCCTCAAGAGGTAGGGGATGGATGGGTGGAAGATCCATTTCACATGGATTACGACCCAAGCAAGAAGGACACATCAGACGGAAGTGGGCTGTCTCAAAAGGACCTAATCTCTCGTATTCGCCAAACAGATCGCATGAAGAAAGAGCAGGAGGAAGCTGTTAAAGACCCCTGGACTTTGAAGAATGACCAGCGCTGGCGACTCTACAGATTCTGGTTAAGAGACTTCTGGAATACTGCTACTCGACGCATACGTCTAATATCTAAGGAGTTAGAAGACACAGTTCAACGGGAGAGAGTAATATCTGAGAAATCAGAATACATGGCATATCAGAATGCTTCTGTTCTTGGAGTGACCTCTTCTTCTGCAATTGGGCATCATCGTATTCTGAGGTATGTGCAACCAAGAATAATGATAGTTGTCCAAGCTGCAGAAGTTATGGAGTCTGTCTTGATTTCATCATTGTCTCAAAACTGTCGACAGCTGATCATGATCGGGTATGACAAGGCCATCTTAGAGCAGAATTCTGCCGTGTCAGCTCTGGCAAGAACAGGTGATGTGGAGCTATCCTCCTTCCTACGTCTCATTGAACGGAAGTATGCCGTTACAAGACTCACGAGGCAACATCGTATGGCACCAGCTATCTCCAGGTTCATCAAATTTGACAACACAGACCTTGAAGATCTTCTTGACGTGACAAGGCATGATGAAGTGCAAGGAATTCCCCGTCGAGTGTACTTCATGAACCACGGATTGCCACGTTTCAATGCAAGTTCACATGAGTTGGAGTTTCTCTCTACTCTCTGTCTATACCTATTGAAGCAAGGACACTTGGGAAGTGAGATTACCATTCTCTCAAATTCTGTTGGACAGCGTGATCGCTTCAAGAAAATTAATGGATTGTCCAAGATCAGTGTCGAACTTCTAAATGATTTTCTCGGAGAGAATGACATCATACTCTTGGCCGCTTTCCAAATGGAAGATTCCGTTGGAAGTCTAAAACCACAAGACCGCTTGATGAAGGCTCTATCAATGGCAAAGAAAGGTTTCTATGCTGTTGGCAACTTCGATTCACTAGGTAAACAGTGTGATCAAGTACTTCATGTCCTGGAGGAAGCCAAGCGTCTGGAAGCGTTGGGCAGTGAACTACCATTGACTTGTCGCTATCATGAGAACCAACATGATGTCGCTACTAAAGCTAAAGATATCCGGAAGCGGATTGATACTGGTGGATGCGGTCTTCAGTGTACGGCACGTTTAAGATGTGGCCACAGCTGTAAGCTACCATGCCATGTACATGACAACAAGCAGTTAGGTGACTATCGATGTGAGCAGCAATGCCGAAAGCCCATATGCCCTGCTGGACATAAATGCACCAAGAAGTGTTTCGAGAAATGTGACAAAAAGTGCAACAATACATCAGAGAGGACATTGCAGTGCGGTCATAAACAGGTGGCTGATTGTTCCCTGGCCGTCGGTAAAATCAAGTGTCGGAGTCCCTGTGAGAAGAAGCTCATTTGCGACCATCCCTGTCGCAATGCTTGTGGGGAGCCTTGTGCTACTCAGTGTCTGGAAATGGTGAAGAGGGAGTGGCCATGTAACCATGCTGTGGAGGTAGGCTGCTCGGACACCGAGGATACATGTCCCTATCCGTGTCAAGAAGAACTCAAATGTGGCCATCGCTGCGGTGGAACATGTGGCAGCTGCATGCGAGGCCGCCTACATATCATCTGTGAAGAGCCATGTGGGCGGATCTTAGTCTGCGGGCACCAGTGCAAGAGCAGATGCTCCACCGCCTGTCCACCTTGCACAGAGAACTGCCAGAACAAGTGCAAGCACAGCCGATGCACGGATCCCTGTGGTGAAACCTGCATCCCGTGCCAGGAGCATTGTGAATGGCAGTGTCCTCACCAGGTATGCCGACGGGCATGCTGCCAGCCATGTGATCGGGAGCCTTGTAAACAACCATGCAAGAAAGAACTGCAGTGTGGCCATGAGTGCATTGGTCTCTGCGGGGAACCTTGCCCTAAGAAATGCAGAGTCTGTCATATGCAGGAAGTCACAGAACTGTTCTTTGGAAATGAAGATGAACCTGATGCTAGGTAGGACATTATCGCTGACTAGTTCGCTAATCATTTCAAATAAAATTATGGACGCAGTATAATTTTCCAAGACACTGGCGACGAATTTTTGTATTTGTTCCTTAGTAAGATATTGACTGAACAGCATGTACTGTACTACAATTTTCAATATGTATCTTTTAAACTTTAGTCATGCTTTATCAGAATATCAAATTGGGTAGGCTTGAAGGTCGTTACCACCTGCCATTGTTCTAGCAGCATACACAAATTTCATGACGTGCGTAAAATTGTCCTTGTCAAAAGTTCATAATAGTACCTTTTAAAGATACTAATGGTTTACTGCTACTTTTTAATCACCATTTCTCTCTGTAGATTCGTGGAGCTGGAAGACTGTCGTCATGTGATTGAGGTGCAAGGATTGGACAAATGGATGATGCCCTCAAGTGCTGAAACCGATTCAGAGACTGTGAAGGTATGTATCTTTATGATAACTGGCCACCTCGGCTTATGAAACATGAAGACCGTATTTAAACAACATTTAGAAATACCACCATATGACCTTAATGTAGTGTTGTAGTGAATCTTTGTACGTATGGCATCATGGAATTTAAGTGGAGGTGGTGGTGGTAGAAAGTTGACTAGCTTAAAGGGGAACCTTAGAAGACTAGCTGCCTTATATCGTGCTGCATAGGGTTGGGTAACCAGTGGAATGTGTATATCATTTTATGGTTTGTATATAAAGGGAAATAATGATTATTTGAATCCTCTGATTTGGTAGCAGGTCTTTTAAAGGGGAAGTCCACCCTGAAATTATGTTAGTTTTAATAGGAGTAGAAAAATGAGAGAAACAAGTCAGTGAAAGTTTGAGCAAATTCCGATGAAAAATAAGGAAGTAAGGATTTTTGAAGTTGTGATCAATCAAACACAAATTGGCAACTCTATGACGTATCATGCGAGCTCAACTTCCATTTGCTCAGTACTAAAAAAAAAAAAAAAATTTTCATTTTCCCTCAAGAAAAATTTCAACCATACATGCACCCTAAATATAATAATTGCAAATATGTTTCTATACTCCCCCTGCAAGGAACAAATATATATTCCGTCATCAATAACGAAGAAAACATGATTTTATGGAATATTATGCACAAAGCAAATGAAGGAGAGCTCGTATAATAAGTCACAGAGTTGCCAATTTGTATTTGATTGATCACAACTTCAATAATTCATAACTTTCTTATTTTCATTCAGAATTTGCTCAAACTTTCACTCACCTGATTTTCTTATTATTCTGCCTCTATCGAAACAAACTTATTTTGGGGGTGGACTTTCCCTTTAAATTGATCCTTTTGCTTGTTATGAGAGGTAGTCAAGATTAGCATTAGATTTAAGGTTATGTACAAGGTTTTTAAATTGTGCTTAGTTCAATATTTTGTTTACCTTTTTCCTACTCAGCTCAAGGGATGTCCAAAATGCAGCACGCCAATCCGTAAAAATCTCCGCTACGGAAACGTGATCAAACGCACCCTTGCCGACATCGAGGCAGTCAAGAAGCAAATGATGGGCAGCAAGGATGAGATCAAGGAGAAAAAACGTCTTCTGAAGAAGAAGATCGGCAAGCTGGAAAAAATCGAAATCAATGGTCTTTCGGAAGACATCATCAGAAATTTCCGGGAAAATATCAACGACTGTCATCATCTCCAGACGTTGGTCTCCCGACTGAACCGATGCAACTTCATTCAGGAAGTCATCAATATGCAGTCGCAGGTAGCTGGTCTTCGACAGGTCCTAGAGGGATCAGTATTCGGTACGAAGACACACAAGTCATATCAAGATATCCTTGAATATCGGTGTGAGCCATTAGCAGATCGTCTAGGTAGGATGAAAGAGGCGCTATCCACTGGAGACCTGGGTCGTTTTGCTGAGCAGCAGATGAATGATACCCTGGCAGAGGTGGTCCGTTTGATCCTGGAGTGCGATGCCGCCGATCTCCTCGTCAACAACCTAGCCTGGTGGGACAAGAACACCTCGCACCAAAGTCTCCTTATCGAGTTTGAAAGCCTTCTTTCCGACCAGAAACCGCTGACACCCGACCAGGAGATCGAGGTGAAAGGGGTCTTGAGGCGTATCAACGAGGCTCTGGGGAATTCGCAGGATACGGTACTGGCCATCAGCGACAGGGAGCGACTGCAGGTAGTCCATGCAGTTGGTCTTAGCCAAGGCCATTGGTTCAAGTGCAAAGAGGGACATGTCTATGCCATCGGTGAGTGTGGCGGTGCCATGGAGCACGCGCGATGCCCCGAATGTGGTTCTGTCATTGGTGGACAGCGCCATCGACTGACCGATGAAAACCAACTAGCTGGAGAGATGGATCGAGCCAAAAATGCTGCTTGGTCTAGGGAAGGGCAGCAGTAAGATCTCGAAGAAAGCTGGTTCATATGAAATAAACCGAAAGTTCTCATTCCTGACACTTACTCTTATATTAGATGTGAATGGTTTATTCGACTTTCGTAAGTCAAAGTTTACACGTACTATATTTGATAACTCAGAAGTTATCGTTTGAAAGTTTTATGTTATTATGATATTTCCTGTGATACTTACTAATAGTAATTGTACATTCCTGATGAGTTGCAATAGCCATTAAATGTATTTCACGAGACGATCTTGATATCAGCATTTGAAGCAATAGCTAGTGCGTAGTTTGCTTAGGAGCTATATTTAGCGCCAATAATAATTTTGAGCTATTTGCATTCCTCTCATCTGCATCTCCTGATGGGACCGTTGTTCATTTACTTGACATTTTATCTTGAGGTCAATGGTTCGAATCCCTATTAGATGCGTATGCCATTAAACAAGGCATTTTGCCGACATTGGCCCAGGTATTAACAAGGGAGCCTAGTTGAAGTCGATCCTTCAAATGCATTCTGCATGGATTGAACACTTTGGAAGATATATTGCAGGTTAACTCCATATCATAATGTGACTTGCGCTGTACAAACAGAATAATATCAATTTAATTTTTATTTTCTACAAGGAATTTATGGTCGTCGTTGGGACGCCATTTAATATACTTCGGACGAAAAACTAAGCGGCTTCCATGTGTATATATTATGTGATATATCGTCATGTCTCTTAAAAAAAAGACTAGTATTGTATTTCCAATTTATAATGTTTGATGAAAGATGATGACGTCAGTATTAGAATGAGATAATTAATTTGCTAAACAATGTCTACAGGTGCTGATTTAGATGTTTCTATTGCCATATTTTTAGGAAAGAGGTAGCATTTTCTAGCAACTTGATGCGAGCGTGTTCATATATGTTAGAACAGAGGTGATGTTCACTTAGTGCAAGAATGATATCGTATGGATGTTCTTGTCATTCAACACTAGTATTATATTTCACATTTCCAGTGTTTGAAGAAAGAGGATAAATTGAGAATTAACCTCTAATTAGATTATATGAGTTTGCTAAACATTGTCATGATTGTAGTGTCACCATGCAGGTAGTTGTTCGGGTACTGTTTGTCTGTTTGATTGCCACGTCGTGGGGCAGTCGCTATTCCCTTGCCACCTGGTGCAAGCGGAAAGTGTTTCATATACATTTTAGAACAGTGATAATATCCACTTGAAACGCTGTGAGAGAGTGAAATCATATATATACACCTGTATAGATTTGTCGATTGTGTTTGAAGGTCAAACGGACATCGATGAGGAATATGATCATGAGAATCGTTGGCTGCAAAGTCGTTCTCTACTTTTGTTAATGATGCAAGCATAAACGATTATTATTGTCTACTGAAGATAGTAACGAAGTATAATGTATGAACTGTATTGTTCACAAAAAAAATGTAACATAGATGTAAGAGGTGCGTAGATTTGTTGTTTTATATTGTTCCAATATTCATGTGTTTATTCATCTAAGATGTTTAACGTTCACGTATGACCCATTGTAGGGTGTGGTTATTTTTCAGGTTGAATCTTTCTGACGTGGGTCTTCTTTTCACAAGAACATAAAATGAATGGTTTAGAAAAACCAGACCGCCAATAGACCGAAAAAAATATTACATCACCACAAATGACCAAGAATCGGTTGGGTTTCAATCACTTTGGAAGTTTGGAAGTGTGCACCGAGTTCTTTAGATACAGATGATATACGTTTGCTCGGTTGCTCCAATACTGACGTGGGTGAAATTATAATTATACTATGTTCGCGGGCATGACAAGTGGTGTCATCTTATAGGTCTTTGAAGCTAGAGTAGATGCCCATTGAGTTTTATCCACTTTGGACCATTAACGGTTGTTTCGAAGAGAGAAGATGGGTTTTCATGGAACATCAACTCTTGCCGTAGCTTCAATATTATGGAGGGACCTACATTTAGTATTAAAAAAAACATTCCGTACAATTACTGTAACTATTACTGCAAATATGGTATATACTATATATTGGTGCAAATGTAGTATCTTCTATTTACCTGCAAATGTAGTACATGTACCGGTATTTACTACTGTTCAAAGCATAGTATCTACTATTGCTGCAAACATAAGATAACTTGTGATAGCATATGGTAGATATAAAATCTCGATTACAATATACATGTATCACACATCGGTGGGGAAGAAACTTGTGATTTACCTAAAGGGTATCACAACGGAGGCGAAAAACAAAATTACCGGCTTCATGTTGCAATACATGAAGTATAGCTGAACTTGTCATATTATACATTGGTTGGATGACATTATGGAATCCTAAATCTGTTTAGTATTTGAAGTTCTTTCGCTTGATTGGTCGTTTAACAAAACACGGGAAACAGGCGACCAATCAGATCATCGCTAACATTTGCGTGACGTGGGAGCACTGGGGTGTATTGGTGAAGACCCTTGACTGTCATACGTGAGGTCCTGGGTTCGATGCCTACACGGTGCTTTCATCCTTGGACAAGGTGTTCGGCACCCACATTTTCCCTTTTCGACCTAGGTAACCGGTCGTACCTGGCAATTCTGCTGGGGAATGCTGGTTGCAGGGGCCTCAAGGTGGAAACGGTATTATTACTGATGAGGCTTTCCTTTGTAAATAAGACTTGATTCAGTTGACTCGGCATAAGAAATGTTGTAGTATATATTGATGTAACCTTGGACTAGGTGTAATTGCATGCCCTCATGTTTACCCTTCTCGACGAAGGTAATGGGTGTACCTGGCAATGCTAGGGAATGCTGGTTGCAGGGGCCTCAATGGGAAACAGGATTGATGAGGCCTCCTGTGTAAATAAGAATGTCATATGATTAAGGTGACTCGGTAGAAGAGATATTGTAGTATATTGATGTAATCTTCCGTTTGGATGTCTTGGACGCCAAAATGGAGATGATTCTATAGCCAATGATACCGACCAGGAACAATTGCTTCGAAAACCACGTGACGAGAAGGAGACAGAGAATGGTCTTTTGGGGATGAGGTCACGGATTTCAGTTTGGAAATACAAATATCTCATTCATGGCATAGTGTTTCAGACATTAGAGTGATGTCTGCATGGTACTGCTACAGAGAGGAGTATAGTTTCCTCTCAATCGAGTTACTTACTCTTGATTTAGCCCTTGGTTCATTTTTTTAACACTATTTCATTGTCTGTATAATCACTGAATTATCATAAGGGATGGGTAGCTGCATGCAAAATTGAAAGAAAAAGTTGTATTGAAATTGAAAATTTGTTATGCGTTGATCTTTAATGAAACAAAAATTACTTGTTGACATTCGGCTTTCATGTTAATTGAAGTTGCATTATGCATTTTTGTAAAGGGGCGTCGATACATCTCCTAGATCAGTTATGACCTTATGGGAAACTGTCCTTAGAGAACTCTTGTCTCGTTCTCGAATAAGGTATTTCCTGTTTCTAACATTTAGAGAGGGTGGGGTGCGATCGAAGCAAGGGCGGCGAGTCAAACAAAATTTGTTGAGATTTGTTTATGGTGACGAGCCTCTATTCATTCAGTGTGTTCAGAGTGTCGATGATGACATTTTGTCTTTACAGTGCATGCAAGACATAAAGAAATACAAGGAGCTCACCAGCCTCACTTATCAAGTAAGGAGGTCTCAATCGCTTGTCTTAAAATGGGTAGTTTTGAAATTATCAGGGGATAGAAGCTAGCCCCTATACTAAGCTACCCTTTCTCGTACGCCTATACACGCAATTGGAATAATATGCTTCATAGAATACACGGTTAAGTACCAAGTTACCTAATTGGAGCAGCCCACTTCCCCAACCCCGGAGTCGACGCCCCTGCTGTAAATATATATTACATTTTAGTGTTACTAACGATTATATAAGTATTAGTTTATGACATCGGGCTGCCCGCAAGAAGGCCACAAGAGCTATATATTGTGGCAGTAATTAACAGCTTTCTTGATAGAGGGCAGCCGACAATTGACGAGCACTCAAGAACTAAAGATGAAAATTGTCATAAAGCCTCATGATGAATTGTGGTGTTGAAGAAAATGATCTGTACCGTTAAGCAATGTCCAAAGTGAATGACATAGCTGGGAAGTTTCGTCAACGGAAGCACTCAGAGGCTTCTCCTACGTACTTGACGTAGTGCAGTCGACTTTGACTCCTGCAGCCGATTGACGCAACCCTGTCTTTTGAATTCGCTCTGAGATGTTTCATAGACGGCAGATCTCTTTTTCGTCATGTTCAAACGTAATACCGGTTGTACGCGAGGCGTCATTTCGATTGTATTATATTACCTGCGCTAATCTAGCCAATGAGGGTTTACGCCAGTAATTCCATGCAACGTATTCGATTTTATTTCCATTGATTGTAAAATCATCATGGCGCGTCAAAGGCCGCACGTGCATTTACTGACGCAGATCTACGTCGGACAAATGACGCCTTGTATGCAACGGGCTTTAGAACCCACATTCGGCGCTGTGCTAGTACATCAAAGGACAGGACAATTAGCATTACTATAGTATTTGACAAATCGGCATCATAGACTTGTGTGCTGGTTTGTTACAAAGATTTTGTGATTTTGTGTTTTTATTTTGTGCTCCGCATCTTCGCGAAAACTAGTCAAATATTATTCATTCCAATTTGCTGGTGTGTTCTTGTATAAAGCAGGGAAACGTTACATGTTATTGATAATGTTTACATTAAACTGTTCAGCCAGAAGTGACATTCTTAGTAGATTAAATAATTATAAACAAGTTGTGTTGGTAGGGAGCCGTCTGACCATTTTGCCTGGAGGGGCCGGGTATAGTGTCGGACCAACATTTCCGACAACTTACCTGAAAATTATCCGTAAAAAATTGCCAAGGGTCGAAACTTTTCAAGTTGTGAGCGACTGATGTTCAGATGATACACAAGTAAGCAAACATATTAGAAGTTTACGAATAGCGGATAGGCAATGAAAATTAAGCATTTTACGACTGATTTGTTCGTTTAGAGGTGCCCCCTGCATGTCTAGCGCAACCCTGACAACTAAAATTTGAAAATGTATCTTTTTGTTTTGTTTAAAGGGCAATCGAACCCTCGTAATAAAGGTATTTGTATGAAAGCAGACAAATTAGATAAACAGAATGGCGAGAATTGGAGTAAATCGGACCAATAATAAGAGTTGAAGTATAACTCACCCGTTTGTCGTGTACGCAAATATAATTAATTAATTAATTATAATTTTTTTTCCTCCTATAAAGTATATTCTCCATTGGGTAGTTCTCAAAATATAACGGATAGCATAGTACATGTAGTATATGTCTTCTAAAGAGAAAAGACCCTCTTAAATCAAACATTTTTTGACAAATTGAAATTTAAATCATTTTATGTGTTGTGACAAATGGGAAAGTTGTCCGCCACTATATCACAGAGACATTACCCACTCTGCCAATTTGAATAGCCCACATATCTAGAGTAATTATGATGTTTTTTAAAATCGAAATTACTCTTTTTTGGGGGGTGGGTCTGATTTCATTTAAAATTTCACCAGTCTGCTTCTCTGATTTGTCTGCTTTCCTCTATAGTAGAATAATTTGCTACTCAAGTTGAGTTTTCCTTGATGCATGCGTTCAATACAATAAATGGTCTGATAGGACCGACCGAATTATTTGGAAAAAGATATTCGAATTTGAGTTTGATCCTTTATTTATGTATGTTTGTAGTAAGGTACTGATTAAAATAAAGACAGAACAAAAAACAAATTCGAAACATGTGCGATAGGATAGCGACTGAATTATTTGTATCATCTTGCCGTTTTCTTGAAGGAAACTAATCATTTCTTTCTACATAAATTTGATTCGCATTGTAACAAAACCATTAATCGTTTCAAAATTCATTCACCATTCATGCCACTGTTAAACCTGGGCGAACACAATGACAAGGATACCGTGAATGAGGGTGAAAGGGTTAAAAAGAGAGAAAAAATAGATAAAGAGAGAGAAGGAGAGAGAGAGAAAGTCTGTATGTCGAGTGTGTGAGTTAGAGAGAGAGAGAGAGAGAGAGAGAGAGTGTGTGTGTGTGTGTGCGTGTTTTTTTTTTTTAATGTTTTGGTCTGTGTTTGTGATTGGGTTTTTACGGTCGCGTATCAATCAGATAGAGAGAAAGATGTAATAGGGTTCCAATAGATAGCATATTGAAATTGTCACTGCAAATACACCTCGAAAGAGAGAGCAAAATTACGAATTCTGTGACTAAATTGTGTTGATTTGTTAGCCTGTGAAATGCAAGTTTGTTTCCATCATAATCTCATCTTTAACAAACCTGTACAATAGTGTAGTATTTTGTAGCATATTGAATCGGCTCGGATTTTGATAGGCCAACCCTGACAAAAATGCAACAATGCACTCATTTGTAAGATAATAATATTCAAGGATTTTGTACTCCTGCATGATTTGTCTTAAAATCACTCAAATAGATGGCCATTATGGCTGGCCAAAAGATACAAAATGTGATTCTAAACTCTATTCTTAATTATTTAACAAAATTCATAATAATCGAATCATTGTGTGGAAGGTTTCAATCCCAATAACGAATTAACCGATTTGAATAAAATCTTCAATTTTATTAATCTATTCTATTTTTGCATGGAAAGATCCATTGCTTCTCAAATGAAAATCCAAGAACAGTCAGTTTTCAGAAATTACTATTCTATTTAGAGAGAGTTCTTGAAATTCGTCTTTTATTTATAGACCTTATTAATCGAAATCAAAGAACAATCTGAGGAAACAAGATATAAACAAGATAATATTGAAGTCAAGTGGCAATAGAGAAATCAATATGTAAACAAACAGTGAATTAGATAACCATATCTTGTGATAGAAAGAAGTATATAACAGGATGCATTATCCATCGGTCAAACAAATAGTGTTTAGTATCGAGTCATCATCAATCGACCATAATTATAACAAACTTGAGGATATTGAAGTTTTGTTAGGATTGGTTTCACGTCAAGATGGATATGAAAGGGGATTAATAATTGTCTGCTCGATCGTTGAACACGTTTAGTGAGCATTTGTGTTGCTTATCAGTCTTGAAATTAAAACAAAATGTTGAGGAAAAAACCGAAACATTTGTTAGCCATTAACAATACTCATTTTGTAAACTTTGGTAAGTAAAATCTCCATTCAATCATACGGGTGGGTGGTTGAATAGTATTGTGACCACAGGCGCAGGGTGAGTTCACCTATCAAAATGGTCCTGGAACAAAGGGGGGTGCAGTGGCGGATCTAGGGGCCTGGGCCCCCTCCCCCGCCTACTTCAAAAAATGTTGTCCGTTCTATCCCATTAATCGTGTTAATTCTGTTAATAATCATTCGCGACTTTTTGATATGTTGTATTATTTTATTTACCACTTCAACATAGCTGGAAACAGAAAGAGCGTGTTATGATATTGATATTTCTGTACGATTTCTGTATAAAGAGTTTTAATTGTCGAAATTACAAAAGAATGAGCTACCTATGAGTAGACTAGGCATGTTATACAAGCGCACGGAAATTTAATGTCGGTGTTAATTTCTATTTTATATCACATTATTTCCTTTGTGTTCTTTAATACCGTTAGAATATCTCATATGGTTTTGTGTGTGATTTTATTACTTGTAAAATGTTAATAGTTATCCAAAAAAGCAATATGACTTTCTGTTTCGTCTGAAAATGTCAATAATTGTTTCCCAAACCTATATATTTTAGTTTTGTTTACTAACATAACCACAATTTTGTCAGGAATAATATCCGAGCGCCTTTTCACAGCTCAAAATGAGGCTGACCGTCTGCAACAGAGGATAACAATTTTGTTACGCTTCCACGAGCTTGTGTTAGGCTGTTAGCATTTATTCAAGACCGATATATTATCATCCAACTAATGTGTACCTTAATTCCTTTTAGAGAGGTCATATATTGACGTCATGGCAAACGGCTCAATCTTGTACCCATTGCTCGTCGCTTGTCTCCTCGTCAGCTCGTCCTTTCAATCTTTACACCGACACGATGGAGATTCGGCCGTGCCTTTCTTAACAGTGGACAAGGACAAATCTTTCCATGGATGTGATCAGAACCGTGAACTGAAAGAAGTTTCTTGCCGCGATAAAGACCTTCACACGGTTCCCCAGAATCTTTCTGAGGACACTGAGGTGCTTGACTTGTCTCAGAACAATATCACAAAACTCTTGAACTCCTCGTTTGAAGTTTACCCTCTAATCATCTCCTTGGACATTTCTGATAACGATGTAAGAGCGATAGAATCCGCCACTTTTTACCCCCTCAGGGGCTTAATGTACCTGTATCTTGTCTTTAACCCGAATCTTGTGCTTCCAGCAACAGGCGTCTTTATGATGTCTTCACAGCTTTCCATTCTCGATTTAACTTTATCATACTTGAACTCGCTCCCTAATGACCTTCTAAAATGGAGTCCACATCTAGATGCTGCACGTCTGTCCTTTAACGAACTCTCCTTCATTAATATAAGTTCTTGTGGCATGGCCGACAATGTACGCATGATAAGTAATCGACTACGACACCTTACGGTGAGAGACTTCACCTTTGGGTGCCACACTGATACTCTAGATCTTAGAGAAAATCCTATCCAATCAGTAGACCCTGATGTGATCGCATCACTACATGTTCGCTCATTGATGCTAGGTGGCAGCCCTTTGAGTTATGAGGTGTTGGCGAACATCATCCTCGGAATCTCAAAATCAGACATCGAACGGCTAACAATCGAGAAAGGTTCCATTGGTGTGTTTCCTGAAGGTTTCTTTGATCCTCTGCGCGATTCTTCTCTCTCTGTTCTGGCCTTTATCCGCAACGACCTGAATAGCCTCCATTCTTTAGTCTTCTCAAAGTTGAACAAAATCAAACAATTCAGTATCAAAGATAACGAACTTCCCATAGACGAAATTCATCCAGACTTTTTCGACGGGATGAATGAATTGAAGGTACTGGTAATCAAACACAACCAAGTGAGACAAATAAATCCTCACAATCAGACTTGGACAGTGGACTTATCTGAGCTTTACTTATCCGGTAATCTGTTCACAGAAATATCTGCATTTGTATTTCGCGGTTTAGGAAATTTAACTTTCTTAGACATGAGCAGGAACAAATTCCTTTCTGTCTTTGAGCTGACGGCCTTTTCGGGACTTGACAATATTCAAACCGTTAATTTGTCCGGAAATCGATTAGTTATTCTTGAATTGAATACCCCAATATCAAGATCACTTTTCTTAAACTCTCTTGATTCAGCATTTGTTCTTTTTGAACCAGGAGAATCATTTCAACATTTACAATCCCTTCTTAATTTAGACATGAAAGGCTCGGAACTTCATCTATATAACATATGGAATGCCATTACAAACACGTCTCTTTTCGATAGATTATTGGATCTTAATCATTTGGACTTGAGTCGTAACCCTTTCCTGAGTTTATATATAGGGGATTTACCGCCAGGGATATTCCAGCAACTCTCTGTTTTACATGAGCTAAATCTAGACTACTGCGATATTACAAATCTACATCCTCTTGTCTTTTCGGGGTTGGAATCGCTTCAGAAGTTGAGTTTGGAAGGAAACAACATCGAGCATATTCATGATGGTGTATTGTCGGGGTTGGGTCAAATAAAAAGTATTAACTTTGACGGAAACCGGATCGCATACTTGGAGGAGCTAATATTCTCAAATAACTGGAAACTCACAAATCTTTCCTTGGCCAACAACAAATTAACGCGCCTAAATAAAGGCACTTTCAAGCCGATCTTTTCTTCAATTTCATCACTTGATCTATCGATGAACCCAATTAATTGTAACTGTGATCTAAAGTGGCTTATTGATTGGTTAAATGAACCTATAGGCCTTATAGACAAGGACAAAACTATCTGTTCGTCAGCATCTCTGGAGCCTCTTCGTGAGAAACCCCTGCTTGATTTTGAGCCAAATGAACTCTGTATATTCAACAATGGTCTTCTCTTTTTGATTCCCCTCGCCTCCATTAGCTTGATTATAATCATCGTGTTGTTGTATCACTACCGATGGCAGTTGAGGTACAAACTCTTTCTCTTGAAACTGGCCGTAGTGGGCTATAAAGAGATGCGAGACGCTCGAGACCACAATGACTACGAGTTTGACGTGAACATCATTTTCTACGACGATGACGAAGGATGGATTCGCGAACAGCTCCAACCGGCTCTCGAAGAACGGCTTCCACAGTTTCAGAGGAACGTCTTTGGTGACGAAGACCTTGTGCTGGGTATGCATTACCTAGATTCTGTCGATTACGTGGTGAGCCATAGTTACAAGACCATCATAGTGCTTAGCAAAGCTGCTGTGCACGACCACTGGTTCATACTCAAGTTACGTACGGCAATGGACCACGTGAGTGATACTCTGACGGAATTCGTACTCGTGGTCTTCCTCGAAGACATCCCAGATGATGAAATGCCATTCTTGGTGAGGTTGTACCTCAATGATGGCAGACCCTATATCCACTGGACTGAGAACGTGAGAGGACAAGATTATTTCTGGGATGAATTGACCAAAAATCTGACCATTAATCTAAAGACGAATGACTTGATCCCAAACGAGTAGCATTCATGTACTTGTGATGGTTATTAGTAATGAAAGTGGTAGTAGACGTAGTAGTAGCAGCAGTATTAAAAGTTGTAGTAGTAGTAGCAGCAGCAGCAGCAACAGAAGAAGTAGATTTTCAACAAAAAAATTGGGGGTGGGGGGGCAAAATGGAAGAAGAAAACAAATTAGTGCTCATTCCCCCCCTCCCCCAACCTCCATTAATGATCGAGAATATGATTATTCATGTAATTGATTAAATCTTAATTTTCGGGGATTTCAATACCTTGTCGGAGGAAAAGCTAAATCGGCTTAATGACGTCATAATGACGTCATACCGGTATAGCATTGTATACGATGTGAAGCCGATTCGGAAAAATTTGTGTCTAGAAGACTTAAAGTCACTTCAATTATTGTTGTTAGTATTCTTATGATCATTATTTACAATCTAAATCAGCAAAACGTTCTTTGTTTACATTTCCATAACTAATACAATATTGCCGTTTTTTCAAGAATCGGATCGCAGTCGGATCGTGTTGGTTAAAGGGATAGTTGAGTTCTGTTTTCAGACCGCAAATGCCTTCAAAGTGCATGGTTATTGCTCTTATTCTTATCTATGACATTTCTAGTGCCCTTTTAGAACCTAAAATTGCTTTGAAGGTAATTTTAGACCCCAAAAATGTGTGAAATTTAGGCAATACGAGCATACCAATTCAGCTCCACTTTAAAAAAATCACGGTGACCGTTAATTGATTATTTAATTAAAAATAACAAAACATGGGCCGACTGGTTGTGCGTAATATAAGCAACACGAACATGCCAACAAAAAACAAACAATATCGGCATTAGCTGAAATACGACGTAAAAGGCGTTAATTACGTTTTTTTCAACGTTTTTTTTTCTTCAAATTTGTCGAAATATCTATTATTTGTGGTGGTACACAAGTATTAGAAATCGTTATATTTCAGCCATTTCTGAACCGATTTTGATCAAACAAAGGTGATTTTGTCATATTTTGAATACTATGTTCTTTCAAATTTGACACTCACTGAGTTTTTCATTATCTCACAAAAAAATATTTTGTGTAGCGCCCTCTGCAACATAACTCAACTATCCCTTTAAGTGTAAGTGTAAGGATTTATGGAGAAGTGAATCTTTTCAAGAAAACCCAAAACCCATGTCCATGTATGAAACCTCTTTAACGACGACCTTCTTTTAACTAAAACCATGGTTTGGAATATTACACGATCAGTTATATTGATAAATCGAGGTAGAACTAAGGGTTTTTCTCATTGTCTCATGGGCTGTTTTTACAAAATTGTATCTTAAATAAGGGAGTTTACAGATAGCACATGGTACAAAAGACCCCAAATATCAACAGATCTTTTACACATGGAGAAGTTTCACTTTGAGCATCTTAGAATAATAACTGCCAAAGCCATAGATGTGCTTCATGAATACCTTTTGTTTGAATAGAAAGAATACTTCCACCTGCGTATCATAGAATATACCGTTGGTGCATAAATGAATAATGTTACATAACTTTCACGAGCGCATATCCAGTATTCTTCTCTGTGGGTTTTACCATTTTGGTACAAATGACCTTTATCTGCCCATGCGCAGATTGTATCTGTAAACTCCCTTATTTCTCGGACACGGTCAGGGAGATTTCCTCAAGATACCGATCTCTGAAAATATAGAAATTCTCGGCATCGAACATGTCGGAAATGACTGTGGACTAGCTTAATGCTTTTATTTTTATAATAAACATTTAATTATGTAAATTTCTGTGAATTATGCCAGTCACAACAAAATTTGCTTGTTTTCAATAGCATTTTAAATACTTCACAAATACTTTCACATTGTTGTATGACAGTTACCTTTTCAGTGTAAAAACGCTGTGTCAAAGGAGTAAAATGTCGTATTAACAAAATTAATGTGTACCTGTGTTTCTCACAGCTTAGACGAATAGGTTACTATGGATGTACGGAGCGAGAAAGGAGGAGGAGGAGGGATGGGGTATCCCCGTCCAATTTGAGCATTTCTAAACATGATCATCAGCGTTTTATTACACTTTCGAAGTAACTGACCTGGGACCGTTATATCTACATATTTCGAAATTTCGTACTTATTTTCCGTACATTATATTTGATTTGAAATCTTTAATTTTTTTATAAATTTTTTCTTCTTGTGTGAAATCTACTCTTATAATAATATACGCCTGTATAATAAAACAAAAATTAAAAAGACCATAAACTGTTTTTCTATGTAAAATGTGGAATAAATAAAACTTCAAACTTGTTATTAACGCTGTCTATGACAATGTCTATGTCTATGTCACGATTTCAGTAGCTCATAACAGTTATTCAAACTGATGACAAGTTTTATATAACAGGGCCCTCATTCCCATTCTTTGCCTAGTAATATGAGCACTTGAAGAAAAATTAAGAACCAGAAAATATGAGATAGAAAGTGATGAAAACTGGCAATCTGTTTCCTTTTCGAAACAAACTTACAGAAGATGGTTATGAAGTGAGAGGGATATCCCTCTTACAGCCAGGAAAATTTAGGACATTATTTGTACCCGGAAATATGAACATAAACACGAGTACAATACTATACGGGGTGTCCTCCTAAAAAATCTATACCATGTTGGGGTGGGGAGAGGTAGTACAAAGAATCTGCAGAATGTCAAATGGCATTGACATCCCCACCACTCCTCCTCTTTTTAGGCCTCTTATAGAGCAATGGCGATTTTTTTTTCTTTCTTCTATTTTAGTCAAGCTAGCTACTGTACGCAACAAAATATGTATTTCTTCTCTGCCTTTTTATTCCAGATCATCTCAATCGTTTGTAAATATCTTAATTTGTCATTATTTTTGTTTTGTTTTTTGTAACACAACATTTGCATTTCCTTGGAAAGTTTGTATCTGTTATGATTTGATTTCTTAATAAACACATAATTTAAACACAAAAAATGTATTTCTTTATTTCTTGATCAAAATTCTTCGTAGCATTAGTCTGTGCTAGATATTTCAATTTCTCTTTGAAATGATATAATTTGCTCTCTATACATGTAATCATATCAATAATAATAATAATATAATAATAATGATAATAATAATAAATAATAATAATAATAATAATAATAATAATAATAATAATAATAATAATAATAATAATAATAATAATAATAATAATAATAATAATAATAATAATATTTAGCATTTATATAGCGCTCATCACAAATGTCTCTAAGCGATTTACAAATATATTATTACCCCGGTCATTGGATTGCCCGCACACACTGTGTGCACAATCTCCACTCCCCGAGGAGTGATAATGTATATAAATGATAAAAGGTAGGCAATGTAATGAATGTAGTTCAGTTAAGCGTGGTTAAGTACTTTTGTTATAATTATAATTATAATTATTGTAAACATCATTATCATTACCATCGTTATCATTATTATCATCGTCACTATCATCATCATCATCATCACTATCATCATCATCATTGTTATTATCATTGCTATTATTACAACAAACTGTTGTTCCCCTCCTTTCCTTTTTCGTATTCCATATGTATTGTAATTTGTATGTCTATTTGCATTTTTAGTTTTGTATAAGATGTAATTGTATATCAGTCTATTTTGTGTGTATAGCGCTTAGAGACTTCGGTGGTAAGCGCTTTATAAGTAACGTTATTATTATTATTATTATTTCCTCTCTAGTCATCGGGTTGGTTGTCATGACGATTGCGGATGTTCTCTCCTACTCCATCTGTAACCAAGTCTTCCGTAAAGAGGATGCCGTCCAGACCTGGACCGTTGTCATGATGCTGCAAGGAGTAGGTTTCATGGTGGGAGCCGTCTTTGGTAAGATGAACCATGTAAAACGTCATTTTGAAGCCATTGTTTAACAATGTTAAATCTCAGATGCACGGCCCTAAGTGTTATTAGTGTCTGTGATATGGTGTAATATTGAAGCCCTTAAAAGATCGCGCTTCAAAATGATCAAGAAGTGCCTCAAAAAAGTAAACAAATTTGAGTGACCGGTTTTACCATACTCGTTTCCCCCAATAGACTGTAGTGTTATGAAAACCGTTAGGCAAACGCAAAATTTGATTTCGATTTCCAATCATTAATATCTTGATAATCAGACAGGCGATCGGCTTGTAAAAGTCATGGGGTTCCTGACTGACCTAAAAGTTTATAATTATCATTGCAGCATGAGCTAAATACATGATTTTGTTTCAGAATCTGAGACATAATTACCGGATCCCTTTAGGTATATGTTCTCATTGAGAATTTGAAACTGTTCAGGTACTCAACTGATAATAGATATTTTCAATTATCTGGAGTGACCTTCACGCTTACGGTCGACATGTCATGTATAGTGCTCTGCGCTTTCCATCAGTCGCTTCATAAGGGTAGCCCTTGCCCTTCCCATACTCCAAGGTACTATGGCGGTATTTCTTGGTTGGACATCCAATTTGCATTGCCCATAGAGTTTGAATAAATTGCCATACCCTTTTTCATGAAATACATGTAATTGTGACAATATGATTTATTCTTCATGGATAATGTTTATCTCTGTTTAAATATTTATCGATAAATTCCTATGACGCTTTATATTGGTCAGAGTTAGGAGGATGTAAACTTTATCTACCAATAAGAGGTAAGAAAATGTTATGAATTTTAAAATGAGCAACAGTGTATTTCAACCAAGTCAGGCGCCAGCTAATTATGACATACTGTATTTAGGAACTGACGACCATATCCCTTTAAATAAAATTCTTTGGGAGTAATGCCATTGGTGAAGGCTTTCAACTCTAGGGCACGGCCCTGCGTAGAGTGGGACGAAATGTGGGCCCCGAGCAAGCGTCGAACCCGGGATCTCTCGCCTAAACCGAAAGACCTGAGCGGGACTAGATGCTTTCAATTTCTCTTACTGTTTCTATCTCTAGGTCTAACCTGTTTTGATAAATTCAATCGAGGATGCTTTTGATAGTTTCCCATTTTTACCAATCGATGGATGCAAGGTAATTTTGAAAGCTATTTTCGTTGAAAGGGCTCCTCCATTCAAAAGGGCTTTTAATTGAAAAATAAAAGACATGTAGAAGAGTTTTTGACGGAGATTCGAGATTCCAATTATGACAATGATTTCTCTTAAAAATCGTCAATAATTCTGGAATCTAGCTTTAAAAATGACGACTCAGACTGCTCAGAAAAAAGCCCAGTTTCGGAGCTGTATTAATACGCAATTTGATATGACGTCACTGTAGGAGTAAACATTGCAGGTACGCCCCGCCCAGCGCATCGAAAGTATACAGATAACATTTGTGTCTAGAGAATTCTTTTCTCGGTTATGAAATAATTTCATCGTGAAAGAAAAGAAGAAATGACTGAAGAAGACAATGAGAGTGACGAAGAGGCTGCAAGTGATTTCAATGATCAATCGTTTCGATTTCCTTCTCCATTCTTCTTACACATTTTCTCCTTCTCTTACTTATTGTTCGTCTCATCTTCCTGATACTGATTTTCACCTCTTCTTTAGGTCAATCTTTCTATGTTATAACGTTTAATTGTATTTTGTTTTAATTACGTGTGTTAATAATGTCATGTATGTTGTTATCAGATTTGCAACGTTTATGAAATGTATTTCAAATGTTCAACATGGGCCCCAATAAAAATCAGTTTCGTCAATGCTCATGCTTCTTTTAACGTGTATCGAAAATATCAATGATATAAATAAACCTTGGCATTTTTTTTCTTCTTTCTTTTCAGGTGAAAGTATTGACAAAACCGGATCGTATAACGAAGCCATATATACAAGCATGGGAATGTATGCGGTATGCGCTGTGCTCTGTATAGCCGTTCCTCTTTACCAAAAACTTTTTGCTCGTCATCGCTTCGTCATGTTTGACCACCAGGCCAAGTGTCGACGTTTAAAGACGGCGACGGCGACGACGATGACGACGACGACGGTAGCCGAGGTGAAGACGGCATGACCGTCCAACTAATTTTCAAAGATTATCTTCAGTGCTGGTACTAATGGAAAACAACATTTTGAATATTCAAACCAAATTTTACCTGATTTGTAAGACTACGGGTAAACGATGTGAAAGTGTCGTGGTACAGTGGTTCATTCACTTGACTTTCACTCATAAAGTTCGGGTTCGAATCTCAGCTCAGCACTAATGTCCTTCTGCAAGACATGAGTCCACATTTGCCACTCTCCAACTAGGTGTAAACGGGTAAATTCCCGATTTGCCAGAGCGTTACTGTCTTATTTGACCACCGGCTATGACCGGCCGAAAATTAATTGGTGATTAATTTGGGTGCCAAGAGCGTCACGGCGTGACGAACATGTGCGCAATCCATTAATAATCCAATGATAAACGATATTGGTAGAAAGGGTACCAAAGTGGAGATATAAGAAAATATATGAGTAGAAAAAAGTCTTATTCTTCCAGAGCACTCCTAGTCTAACGACAAAGTGGTTACATGCAGTGTAAGTGATACTAAAAAAAAAAATTAAAAAAAAAAAAATCGTTTAATAGTAATAGTAATCATGTTTATCATGACGACGATGATCATGGTAATGATGCTGACGGTAATAATGCTAGTGATGTTAATAGTGGTAATAATAATGATGCTAGTGATAATGGTGGTGATGCTAGTGATGATGATGATAATAATGATGATGATGATGATAATAATGATGAACATGGTAAATGTAATGATGGTCACTGTAATCATGTTTATCATGACGATGATGATCATGGTAATGATGCTGACGGTAATAATGCTAGTGATGTTAATAGTGGTAATGATAATGATGCTAGTGATAATGGTGGTGATGCTAGTGATGATGATGATAATAATGATGATGATGATGATAATAATGATGAACATGGTACATGTAATGATGGTCACTGTAATCATGTTTATCATGACGATGATGATCATGGTAATGATGCTGACGGTAATAATGCTAGTGATGTTAATAGTGGTAATGATAATGATGCTAGTGATAATGGTGGTGATGCTAGTGATGATGATGATAATAATGATGATGATGATGATAATAATGATGAACATGGTACATGTAATGATGGTCACAATAATCATGTTTATCATGACGATGATGATCATGGTAATGATGCTGACGGTAATAATGCTAGTGATGATAACCATGGTAATGATAACGGTGATAGTGATTTTGATGAGGAGGAGGAGGATGATAATGACGACGATGACGGTGATACAACCAAACGAGATTCTTTCGAAACGTATATCAATTCTGAGAATTTAAGTTTAACTTTAAATTATCGTATTAAACTATCATAAAGACTTTCGAGAAATCAAATCAAGGGGGCATTAAATACCCAATTTATTGTACATCCCATATAACTTGTGTTTAAGTGGCATGTTTCTTTGTAATGTTTTCAAATGTCATGTGATGGACAAGGCTACTGATATTGCATTGGGTTGATTTTTCGAAAGCCTTTGCGACTGTGTTCATGGTTATAATGTATGCTACGCTTAAAAGAAGCGATGGTGTAATGTAAAACAACGAACATTTACTTCTTTGATTTTGTATTTTCACATTTAATGTACTAATCACATGCCGGAATTTCGGCACAATGTTACAACATATTTTTTTTTACATATATATATATATATATATATATATATATATAACAAATACACAATGTAACATTAATTCGTAATTATAGAAATATTTGTAATTGTACACATCATGCAACTTGTAACGTTTACTCGTAATTTCACCAATATATCTTGTTAAAGACGCGTTTGAAATGAAATTCAATAGTGCAATTTTATCTGTCTTTGTAAAATTCAACTGGAGTATTGGCAGTTGCCAACGTTTAACATGTTTTCATAAACGGTACTTTTTGTCATTACATGTAAATCAATATTATCTATTGTTTAGAGATACGATTGTTAAAAGTAATACAGGCATCAACATAAATTTACTCGAATTACATACTGCATTTAACATGTAGTGTGATGTTAAGCACAAAGTGTTTAATATGAAGTTGGTTGTAAAACAAGATTTCAATGTACATGTGGCTTTTTTGTCAGTTGCACCTCTTGTATCCAGTACCGAAATGACAAATATTTGAAGAAATTAGGTCAAGGTTCATGTCAAGGTGTCGTGGTCTAGAGGATAAGTGACCGGGCTGTAAAATAACAAGGTTCGCGGTTCGAAATTGAATGCATGCGTGAGCCCCTTATCATGGTAGCTGGGCTGAATATAATATTATGATTGCAGGGCCCTCAGGGAGACGTGTTTTGAAAATAACGAGGCTATATCGTGGGTAAAAATGACCTTATGTATTGTCGTTATTATACATGTAGTTGAAAATGATACGTGAACCGAGTGACCTCTGTTTTTACATCCAATGAGTTTTATGAAATGGAATTCAGGGTAAAATAACATAATTTTCTTGTACACATACAAAGACAGGTATTTTTAAAAAATATTTCCTTGATACATACATGTATATATTTGACAGAAAATATAGTTTTTTAGGTCACACTGAAATCAATATATGAGTGATTTATGTGTTTATGTATCTTACTGTACTAATAAATTCACTTAAGATGAAAAGCTTGTTAGTTTATGAATATTTATACAACACTCGCAACTCTTTTCTTATCGAAAAATCATCTCAAGGCCAGTTTCAATACCCTATATTTTGTGTCTTATACAAATCATTTTCGGATTCCGTTGTATGTGACGCACAAGGCTTTGAAAATGGCGTTTGGTTGATTTTTCGAAAGTATCTGCTATCGTGTTAGTTAATCGTAAGGGAGAAAGTGAGAACGAGAGGCAGCTAAGGGGGGGGGGGGGGGCGCTACATTGAGAGAGAGGTAGAGAAAGAGAGATGATTTAGGAAATACATGTAAAATGTATGTAATGGAGGTTAACTTTCTTACATGAGATGATTCTAAAAAAAGTTTCACAGGAACACACCGAATGATACTGGAGCGAAAGTGTCGTACGTATAATGGAACACAATGACAAACATAGTTATAACCAAGGGGGGGGGGGGGCGCCTGACGTTCCTGTTTATCATTTTAAAAAGGGTCATCCAAGGCACTGGCTCTGTGATTTCGTGTGTCAACCCCGTTTGTGCCACCCCTTCCTCCGTTTAACAATTAGTCTGGTACGCCGGTAGTGAAAAACACAAGTAGCAAGAGGTTAAAGGGGCATTTGGTCCCCTGTTCCACTAAAAAAAAAAAAAAAAAAAAAAAAAAAATCATTCATGAAACTTATCCCAAGACCTAAGTAACTCTATATCTCACATAGCAAACGCGTGTGTGTGGGTGGGTGTGTGTTGGTGAGAGTCCGTGTGCGGAAGAAAAAAAGGTGTGTTAGTATAGCTTAGCTATATATTGCATTTGACTTTGGATTATTTTGTATGTCACCCCCTCCCGTCTGTGCCTCCCACCCCTATAAGGCTATGCTGGTAACGCCGATGGGTTCTACAGTGAAGGTGTCTTACAGATGAAGTAATGAATAGCAGAATCACTTGGCTGTACGCATCGACCATCTTTCCATTGACTGCCGCTATGGGACCTCATCACCCCACAGTTCTCGTTCCCAACGTGATTCGGGTAGTTGTCGGGCTGTCCTGGCTTCCAGTGGGTGAAATCGACCGGAGTTCCGTCCGTCCATTCGAAGGTGCCGTCAGTAGAGGTGTCGTGTAGACCAAACCAATGTCCTGCGTTTTCATCCTGAAACGAGCACAAATAAGTATATACAAAATTATATACAAATATATACAAATAGATAACTATGTAAATAGATATTGATATAATTATAAAGAATTGAATATAAATAAACTAGCAGGACCCGCGGAAATCCGCGGGATTCTAGAGGGGGCGGGGGTGTAAATAGATATATAGAGACTCTCTAAATTAAAACCACCAAGAACTTTGTTTGCCATTTATTTTAAAAAAACGATCCTCTTTCACACTGGAACTGCGTAGAGTTGCGTAGTGTGGCGTACCGACTACGCAGAAATTAGGCTGCGTATTAATGTAAAAATATTGCTTCACTGTAGTCCCTGCGTAGGTTATGCATAGGCTAGTGTACATGTTTGCTTATTGTTGCTTACTGTTGCTTACTGTGTGGAAAGCTTTTACTGCTTTGTCGATCTGGCGTAGGGTAGCGTACTGTTGCGTAGGCATGGCGTACAGAAGCGTAGTGTTGCGTGAAAGGGCGTACTTTCTGCGTCAAGTTTCTACGCCGAAAGTACGCGGAAAAATTAAACATGTTGAATTGTTTGCGTCCATCAGCATGTAGTAACGTAGGCCAGCGTAGTTGGTACTCAACACTATGCAAATCTACGTATGGACCCCACGCCAATTAGTGACCTGCCAGTGTCACAAATAAAGTATTATGCTCATCTGACCCTAATTAAATGCCTAAAACCAGTGAGCTTTCGGGGGTTTATGGCCCCTTGAAACCCGTGGACCCACGCCTATAAACACTCAACTCGCTGCGATCTAACCCTAATTAAATGGCTAAAACCCGTGAGCTTTCGGGAGTCACGGACCACACGCCTATAAACACTCAACTCGATGTGATCTAACTGATCCCCCCCCCCCCCCCACAAACTTTGAAAAACGTTTCTTGAAAAACGTCTGCATGTAACATGTAAGAATGGTGCATGGTGATGCAGATTTTTGTCAGCACCCCCCCCCCCCCCCAAAAAAAAAGATTTTACTCATTACGCAACTGACCGTTTTGCAATGCATGAAGTCACATACTTCTGTCTGGTTGATATTGAAATATTAATATGTAAATGTACAATTCATAACCTTGTTTAAATTTTCTTGTAATTTAATGTAGATATAAGACAATATTAGTCTCCGATGGCTGAGTAGACGTAGTAAAGTCGTATAGTTTTATAGCTGTATACGTGTACAAAATTATGGCACTTCGGCCCGCACGCTGTTGTGTAGACGGGTTCTTCGATGGATGGATAGACGTATGTGTAGTTGTATAGTTGTACGAATATTGGCCTGCTTGGCCCCCATACTCTTCGACTCTACCTCACTCAGCCAAAGTCCTGGCGCGGCCGACACATTGCAGCAGCTCTGTGTGTACTGTATGTGTGTTGACTGAAGGCAGCTTGCGACTGAACTGTCAGTCCAATGTTTTTCTTGTGAAAACTTTCCTTTTAGAAAATGATAATCAAAATTCAGTAAACATGGCCGTAATAATCACAAAACAAGCTTTGATTTTATACCTCCATTCACGAAAACTATATAAAAATCGCGGCAATCATGACAGTAAATAGGTCTCTAAGTTTGGACGTCGACGGGAAGCCCCGTGTATCTCTCTGGCTTGTGCAGCTACTACAAAGCACATCCTATAGCAAGACGCTTTACTCTGGGTAATCCCGCCCTTTGCATAGAGCATTTCATACGCAACATAATGTGAGTTGATGATCATTTGTTGTGTGTCTCTTTGATACGGATGTAATGTTGAATATGCATGAGGTATCTCTGTCGTCACGCATATCATGCATTATGCATATCGCGTCTGTTTTCGCCCTGGATGTCGACAAGGAGGAGGACCTCGGGCGGAGTATAGCCAATTCCACAGAGTAGACTCTCCCGCGGACGATGGCACCGGTCACCGGTACCCCGAGGGAAGGGTTCAGGAGGAGATAGCTGCACCAACTTCGGTCGGCGATCTCATTAAAAAAACAATAGAATACAAAGGCTCGCGGAGACGTCATGCCCCCCGCGGTGTCTTAGCGTATTACTTATAGTGATGATAAATCAAACACATAAATAAGTATACAGATAAATGAATATAATATAGATGAACAAATAATCAAAAACATAAATACAAAATAAATGACTATATAGATACAAAAACAAACAAATAGATGAATAACTAAACAAAAAAAGAAAATTAAATGAATGAATGAACACTTAGTTGATTACTGAATCGAAGAATTACAAGAAAAAAGTATAGTATTACAGAAGTAGACTGCGGGAAGGGTCCAGTAGGCCCTTGGCCCCTTTTTTGGACCTACTGACAACCATACTTAAAGGACGTACAAAGAATTTTCCCATATTGTGCTCTTTTGCATTCCCCTTTCAAAGGTCATATCCTGAACATGTGATACTTCTTTTTTTCTTTGTGAAGGATTTTTTTTTTAGAAATTGTGGTCCTTTCACAATCCTGGTCATGTGATTTATGTACAGAAAAATGTTTTTCTTATCATAAAACTACGGTGTGAAAATAAAGATGTGATTTCTCCTTGTTTTCAGTATCGAATCGAAGTGATCTTGTCATATTTTACAATCCAGAATTCGAGTCAATTGGCTAGTTAGGAACACCTGTTGAACCATAGGTAAAGAAACAAAACATCACGTATTTGGTGTGGTTAAATATTATGAGGATGAAAAATATATTTATAATTTTTGTGGTACAGCTTGTTTTAAAATTTATTAATAAAAGGCAGTCACTTCAAATTACATTTGTAAGACAAAATTGGGAGAATCACATTGTAACGAAGTAAGTCAGACGTATGTGACTTTATGATTGTTTTTTTTGTTGTTGTTGTTATTTTGACTTTATCCGATAAAGTAGCCAGTGGAGGACTAAATATTATTATAGGTTTTCCCGGCCAATTTCGTCAAAGCAGCAATCCATTTCATTTACGTGCATTCATGTTCGAGCAAACTTTCTCCACTCGTTGCTCCCCTGTTTCATTTTTAAACTTGTTGCATTCAATTTCGTTTCGAGTCACCGAATTCTTTAACATCCACATTCAAATTAAAGCTTGGTTCAGTCAATTTGAAAATGCGTAAGGGTCATTCAATTTCGCCAATGTTAAGTGGGAGGAGAATTCTTTGGCGAATCGCGGTTTCATTTTCGTCTATGGGCAACCTCTTTCACAATCGGGTCATTCAAATTAAAACTAGACCTCATAATCATAGTATGAAGCTCGATGTTAATTCGGATATTCAGTTTGTTATGTTTATTTATCTTTTCTGACATAATATCACATTACCGGTATACAATCTTCTTATTTGTCTGATATGTTATATTGAAATTTGTGTTTTCTCTTTCTTTCGACATTCTTAATTTTTGTTGAAACATACTCATATCTTCATATTTTCATTATACATGTCTTTTAGGTTATTTTTTAAATGGTTTGTTAGGATAAATCTTGATTGAGTAGGTGACCTTTCTTTCTTTCATTTACCATCTTTTTCTTTATTCATCATTGTATTTTGTTTCCATCATGTCCATGTCTACCAAAGCTGAACTCTACATCTGTCCAGGATTTGTTTATATATAGCTTGTGCTTAGAAGAGAAAGCACAAACTGTGAACCTTGTCTGGGGACAGTTACCAGTGTAATGACAGATATCTACTAACGAATACGCATGTCATTTCTCCAAGTAAACATTACATAAAATTATTCAAACAGAAGTATATTAAATGACAAATTAACATCAAATAAAAAGCAATGCTCAAATGTCAAATGTCACGAAATTGAATGCACGAATACATACCACCGTCTGCCCGGCGCGAATTTGAATGCTCTTTGCATGCTTTTCTTAATTGAATGCTCGTTTTGCACGTCCCCCTGACAAGAGTATGAAATCGCAGGCTACTAAATCAAATTGAATGACGCAATAAGCTTTTTGAATGTTGATCTACATAGTCATTCAATTTCGCACGAACTTGAATGAACGTAACGTTAATTAGGATGCTAAGTTTACGAAGTTGGGCGGGAAAACCTATATTATAGCGTTACTGGGGTACGAGACTTAAAATATAGGATTTCCCGGCCAAATTCGCGAGTTTGTCATTCAAATTAATATGTCTTGCGTTCAAATTCGACGGTTTTAGTGCAGTCAGGTATATCTCGGGTTTATATTCCCTTTTCTAGTTTTCAAATCTATGGAATTTTCGTTAGAATCTACGTATGTTTCATTCAAATTAACGAACATTGTGCTTCTTTCGCTATTTGGTCATTCGATTTGGCGCAACACGATTTTCTGACAACGCGACGGTGTACTTCTAGCATTCTAATTCATTGTAGCATTCAAATTAGCACATTGTGCACTTAAATTGATGGTCATTATACATTTCTCGTTTATTACACACTTTTTATAGCTCATTCTTTTTCTTTCAAGATTGTTTTTTCATGTGTATTTCATCATATTTCATTTTCTTGCATTTATACACTTATACTTATTAGATTTATCTGATATTCATCAGCATTTAAGTTTGATTGTTAAGAAGAAGAAAAAAAAACGGCTTGCATCAACGGACCTGATGGTCTCAGTATATTTGTAAATGTTCATGTAAGGAAGTTGTTTTTCTTATGTTTCATCATAAATTTATCATAATTTCATCATAATTTTATTATGGAAGAAGGGTACAATATTGTAACTGGGGTAGGGACTAGAGTCAACAATTTGAACATGATTCATTATTTAGCCATGTCTTTAGCCATCGATCTGCTGGCGGGCAGGTAAACTATGAAACTCTTTAAGAAAAACAGAGGGGTGTGCTGGGTATAACAGACGATGTGAATTACTTTTGTAAAATTCCGAGTCTGTAGTAAAAAGGGGCGATTGAGGGTACCCCCACCTTTCCCGGGTATATCAGCATGTCCGTGCAGAAATGCCATATCCCTTGATTTCGCCCCTTCTTTACTTTATGTCTGACTACACCCATCTGCATTGTCCTGAGAAAAAAAATGGAATAACAGCTTAGACCCCAATGGAAAATCATGCATTTTAACTGCATTATTTAAAAACTGTAAAAGTTTGTTGCAATTCTTCCCCCTAACATTCCTAACTTGAATAAAAATATTACGAATACGAATGACAGGTGTTAATTTGAATGATAAAAATTACGCTTCGACAAGTGAATATTAGTTTGAATGCTAGTTGAGCAGTTTCTAAATTGAATGACATATCTATGAAACCCTTCGACCAAAATCCTAAATTAAATACAAAAGCTGGAAAATGGATTGATAATTGGCATGGCAAAGCCGATCTGCGCTAACTTAAATGCAAAGTAAATGAATTCGAATGACACACACGCGAATTTGGCCGGGAAATCCTATAATAAGTGACTGGATTTTGTATTTTCTTTTTAAGAAATCTATCAGGAGAGGCCAATTTCCCCCTCTTTCCCCTCCTTAAAGGTACTATGTCCCATTTGCTGGCCAAAAAAAAAATGAAAAAGTTAAATTCCAACTGCATTTGAAAGATAATATGATACTAATTTAGAACTTCCCTAAAAAAGGTGGGGCTTGAAAATGTCTTCAAGTGGGAAAATAACGACTATTAGTTGTCAAATTGACTTTAGGGCTATAGAACCCAAAAGTAATAGTCTTGATTTTCAGACAATATTGTACCGAATGGTCATACGTTTTATGCTGCGCAAAGATTCAATCAGTTTAATCTTGGCCATCACTAGAAGTGGGTTATTGATGTAGACAAATGCTCATGTACCCTTTACAACTCTTTTCATGTATGTTATGTTATTGAAGAAAAAAATCAGTCAGTCACTCAATAGTGTCTGACAGTGAAGTCTAGCAAGTAAACGGGTTTCCTTGCATAATTTGAATATGAGGACACTGCTAACGATTAAATTTCACAGATAGGACATAAATGACATATTCATAATTCCTGCAAAGTTCTACAGCATTTGAGGTTGACTGCAAAAGGGACATAGTACCTTTAAAACACGCTAGGAATTTGAATAATTTCAAAGTTATACGACTCGTTGCTCACCCCTTTCTTCCGTGAGGATTCGTAGAGAGCAGTCACGAAATCTTGTTCGGGCTGAGAATGGATGGAGACGAGATGCCCAGAATTGGTGCGCGTGACTTCTCCCCATTCGCCGAGAGAGGGCACTGTGAAGCTGCGGCAAAAGTTTTCGGCCGCTAGCCAGGTCAATTCATGACTGAAGAACCTACAAAATGAACAATTATAATGACTGTATAACATTCTGTTTGGGTATTTTTTAAAACTGTGCATGATAGCTGACCCCCTGGATATTTAAAAGAAAGAAATAAATAAAGAAGAAGAAAACCCACATTGTGCAAATGAAAGTTTGTAGATGACGGTGACAATATAGAAAGAGTTTAAATGGAAAAGAAAATCTATAGTCTTAGGATAGAAGAGAGAGAGAGAGAGAGAGAGAGAGAGAGAGAGAGATCCTGAAAGCACTCAAGGAGAGACAACTAAATGACCCTCTTGACAAAACTGTGTTTCAAAAACAAAAACATTAATAGTTTATATTGACTGAGGGGTAGGCCTATGTCAGGAATATAAGAGCCGAAATTAACTTCTTTCCATACCTGTAACAATGATTTCTAAAACCAGTCCACAGCTTCGGGCAATTACCACAGCCAGCTATCCCAGTGGGGCAGGCGATCATGGCGACGGCTGATGCGATGAAAAAGAGCTCGGTCCTACGTCCAAAATCCATCTCAATTAATCCAAGTTATACAAATTCTGATTTTCAGTTGCTACTTCTTTTATGATTTTGGGTTTTGTACTTGTAGTGCTGGTTGCTGGCTGTGCGGCTCGATGCCAAATTGATTTGATGAAGATTGATTCCTTAGAAGTTAACAAATCTACGAATAATAGTACTATGTTCAGCACATTCGCCAACATTTTCATTGGTGGACATTTTGCGGACGACTACATTTGAAACGAAGGGATGTTTGTGTGGAAGATCCGGTGTAGTTATTGTGATAACTTGTGTGTCAACATTATGCTAAAATAATGTGGAACCTTCCTTAGAATATACCTTAAATACGTATTCAATCAGCGGGGAAGGGGTGCCATTGATAAGTTTATAAAAACTAGTTTTTAAAAATGCATGGTTTCAAATTCCAGAACGGGTTTCAAAGATAGACTCTTTAAATTCAGCATGAACACAGTGTATGATTATTTAGACTATAATTTCATGTTTTTCAGCATAATTCGGCCCTACTCCAGTTACTGCATGAGCCAAAATCCGTCTTTCTCAAAATGAAGGAGTTTTGTTGGTAAATATTCCTCTTGAACTTCAATTAACAATTAGAACTTCCTTCCAGAATTAGAGGGAAATTCATAAAACACGTGGTTGTATTATATTGCAATGAAACCAACATGGAAAACTGAAGAGTTTTTACTAATGCAACCAAAGAGGAAATTAATAATAAACTAATTGATATTAAATCAACTTGAACAAAGTATAATTTTGATCAGTATAAATTACTGCATAAAAGAATGATTAAGTAATTTAAAGTTAAAGATAACGTTGAGTTCTGGTCATGCGATTACATAGTGAAAGAAATGCTGTGGAATCGATCATAATTATATAGCATAATTATAAGTATTGGTGTGTACTGCAAGGTTCTAGAATCATCAAAGTGGTAAGAAATTTGGCTCAGTCTTGGTAAAGTTACAAGCACTGTACACAGAAAGATGTATATGGGACTACACGAACATGTGGCATAAAATTCCGTCCCAATTTGTATGACCTTACACGCAAAGTTTCGGTATGGGGTCATGAATTTGGTTCAAATGAACATATTGGAAGCATATGCAATCCTACAATATTCAGTGATAGTTATGAAATTATAAACAATAAACTATTTGTGTTGTATAGCACCCTCTTAAGGTCAATACATTAATTAAGCTATAAAACAATGTTTCTTGACTGAAATCGACCGATTTTATTCCCGTTTGAAAATTATATATCACAACTACATATTCTGAGATTTTCATGGTCGCAGCTACCTGTGTACGGCCGTAGGCGCTATTTGAAATTTATCGAAATTTACTGGGAGCACTAGTAAATTTGTATATTCAATTTTTCTCGGAAGCAGAAGTGTTTTAGGGGCTAAATTTTCTAGTGCTTATAATGCATCCACAGGGGTATCCAAATATATAAAAATTGTAAAGAATCAATTTCCACGCAATTTTCGAAATTTCCCAAAACTTTGTATAACCTTTAAGGCATTAATTTGAAGAGCCATGCTTTTCATGGAACATTTTTTTTCTCTCTGATGTTCTACCACATTTGCATAATACAATGATAACGCTCACAAATAATTTTCCACCTGTTCCTGGCCAGAACTGAACCTCCTTGAAATTCAGTCAGGTTTAGTCCGCCCAACATCATCGTCGTCGTCGTCGTCATCATCATCGTCATCATCATTTCTTGTATACTGCTTATGTCTGTCAGACTTTACACTCCTGGCGCTTCACAGTAATATCATTACCCCGATTTTAGCATGGCTGCGTGCAGAAGCTAGCAGGGTACAGGCACTATAATACCCCCCCCCCCCGATGAGCTTTTGCTGGTAGTTGGGGTGGGGATGAAAGTTATGCTGGAAATTTCGAAAGGATGTAACTCTACATTATGCCCCGAATAGTTCTAAACGTAAACATTTCCTGAGGTGGTTTCAGTATTCCGAGAATGAAGTTATTAATCCTTTTAGCAAACGAAAAGGGGAATTAGCTTTGATTTGGTTATGGTTATGATGTCATGATACAGGGAACAACTTCAACGATGCTAAATATTAAATCCCCGCACAACAAGAGACAATACTGAGTTTAAAAAAAATTGTATTATTATCATTTTAATTTCTTTTACTCTTTGTACCTTACGTTAACGTTACAAAACGCAAGTGTAATGTAAAGAACAACTTAGTAAAACGCTGACATTTAAAGTCCAAATATATCCGTTAAAAAATTAGTCTTAGTAGTCAGTATAATATATATTAGAAAGAATCTTTGATACAGTAATTATTAGCAACGTATTGCTCAAGAACAGTTACAAAAGTATGCCCACAGTCAAACCTGCCTATTGTACGACACTTGATCAGACAAAGGCAATAGGCCATTATCGTAATGTAACCAAAATAATGTAATGCATAAGTGTTTGTGAAGTGCCTCAATACAAATTATTTTGTTCACCTGTTAGGAATAATAGTATTTCAATAGTCAGAATGCAACTGCATATAGTAAGTGTTGCTAGGTAGGTCAAGCCATGATGATGTTTGTCCAACCTGGCAACAACTTATGTACACAGTTCGGATTCTGTCTATTGAAATAAAATTATTCTTATCAGGTGAATGAAATAATTTGTATTGAGGCACTTCACAGAGACTTGTGCATTAAATTTGGTTACATTACGAAAATGGCCTATTGCTTCGCGTTTAATAATTTCCTACGCTAGCCGAATTTTGCACTTCATCCTTGGACCCACTATACCTAACCCTATAACCATACCTTTACACCAGGGATGTGCCTGCTTAAAGGTACTTTGTCCCATTTTGCAGCCAACATCAAATTCTGTAGAACTTTGCAGGAATTATTAATATGTCATGTATGTCTTATCTGTGAATTATAAACGTTATTAGTCAGTACTATATTATTCAAATTATGCAAGGAAACCCGCTTAATTTCTAGACTTCACTGTCAGACACTATTGAGTGACTGACTGATTTTTTTCTTCAATAACATACATAGATATAATGAGCTGTAAAGATTCATGAGCATTTGTGTACATCAATAATCCCGGCTTCTTGTAATGGCCCAAAATAAACTGATTAAGCCTTTGCGCAGCACAATACGTACGGCCATTCGGTACATGGGTCTGAAAATCAGACTATTACTAAAATGAAGGCAATCAGTAAAGTCTATTCTACAACTAACGGTCATTATTTCCCGACTAAAAGACATTTTCAAGCCCTTTCGTTTTGAGGGAAGTTCTTAATTAGTGTCATCTTTCAAATGCCGTTGGAATTTAACTTTTTTTTTTTGGGGGGGGGGGGGGGGCTACAAGCTCTCACCCTTACTCTAAACTTTTGACTTCATGAAGCCCGGAAGAACTGTAGCCGGAGCAATGTCGAATCACCAGGGCACCCATGAAAAATGTGGATAGCTGGCCTTACTAGGCAGGTTAATTCTATAACATTTTCTTGTTCGAGAAACATCAATTATTATTAGACAGGAAGCATTGATAAAGAGGGCCAGGGGACGACTTTCTTTACAATTATACACTGAGTACGGGCGCAGAGAATAAATGGATGCCGTTACTTTGAATATTTATGTCTCTTTTGTTTGATAACCGTTACACAACCAGAGTTTAATTAAGTCAATTAGTTGAATTTGGCTTATTAGACTATATAAATATTAAATAAAATAAATTAAATTGGGTGAATGCCAATTTTTTTTCCTTTTTTTTCCTTTTTATAACAAATACAAAATTTAAATAATGTACTTAGTTTTTTATACAATTACTGGAGACAGAATTTTACATAAGGCCCGGCCTTCCTGTCTAGTCTCCGATTACTTTCATTAATGTACATGTTTAAAATGTTTTTCCCTTGTCCATCATGTCTTCTCCACTTGTGTTATCCTCATGTTATATATTGATACAAGATACATGTATTATATTCTAACTTATATATATATATATATAATAACAATAATAATAATAATAATAATAATAATAATAATAATAATAATAATAATAATAATATAATAATAATAATAATAATGATAATAATAATAATAATAATAATAATAATAATAATAATAATAATAATAATATAATAATATAATAATAATAATAATAATAATATAATAATAATAATAATATATAATAATAATAATAATAATAATAATAATAATAATATAATAATAATAGGCTAATAGTCCACTCCAAATTTTATTAAACCGAAACGGAAATTCTTTTTGCCCAATTGATCGTGAGCCCGGCAGCCACTGAGCAGCGCCAGATCGACGTTGCTCTATCCCTTATTGTTGAACGCCAAACAAGGTAGCAACAACTCCCATCTTTTAACGTCTTTTGGTATGACGCGGCCGGGGTTCGAACCCACGACCTCCCGGTTGTGAGGCGGACGCTCTACTGACTGAGCCAACACTCCGGTACATCAAGCTGGCGGGAGTGTTCGAAACCTCGAACCCCGCCACTCCCCCACCCCCTAATTACACGTACGTACACGACCTTGTGAATGTTATCAGCATAACTTGGAAAAGATGAAAAGATGATAATTGTATCAAGAGAAAGATAAATAGATTGGGAGAGAAAGGGAGTGATAGGGGATGTAAATGGTGGAGAGGAAAACGCATACAGCGAGAATGGATTTGAACTATAGAAAATTATATGATGAGAGGGAGATATCGAAGAAGAGAGAGAGAGAGAGAGAGGGGGGAGTGAGATATATAGAGATAAAGAGAGAGATGGTCGAGAGGGAGAGATGGTGGAGAGAAACAAGAGGGGGAAAAGAGAGAGAGAGAGAGAGAGAGAGAGAGAGAGAGAGAGAATGGAGTTGAAATATAGAAAATTATATGAGAGGGAGATATCGAAATCGAGAGAGAGAGAGATGGAGGAGAGGAAAAGAGAGGGAAAAGAGAGAGAGAGAGAGAGAGAAAGCCAGACAGAGAGAATGGAATTCTAATATAGAAAATTATATGAGAGGAAGATATCGAGAGAGAGAGAGAGAGAGAGAGAGAGAATGGAGTTGAAATATAGAAAATTATATGAGAGAGAGAGAGAG